TAAATAAATGATGAGAAGAGCGAAAAGCCAAAGAGTAAATTTGGAGAAAGATTAAGGCTCGTTGGGGAGTAAGGTCACTGTTAGAACCCAGAAAATGCTGAAGGCAAGCGAGTAATACAGGGAACAGTACTGCGACAGAAATCTAATGGAAAGAGAATTGAAACAGAAGGGAATGTGCATGAGCCTTTTCACGTATAAGGTACATTCTCTTAGTTCAGAAGAGCTCTTGAGAGCAGAAGGCCCATGATGTCTGTATCTCATAATTTTAGTACCGTCAGTCGTTAATGTATGTCAGTAAATTGCACCCTGAGCTGCAGGTCTTAACTGCATAGAGTATTCCTACATGGCATGTTGGGCTTGGTCCTGGTCCCAGTTGTGTGCCCATGCCTCCTACTCTTCTGCTAAATTCAAAACAGTATTTGAGACTTACAGTATACACGTCCATATAATAAAATAATCCAAGAATATCCAGTTATTACACAGTTACAATTACTGACATACACTTTGCAATAAAGATATCAGAAAAGAACTGCTTTCAGTGATTTTTTTTTTTTTTTTAACTGAAATCCAAGCACAAGCCTGATAGGAATGAGTTTTGTCACTTGTCCAACATAACCTAAATTTCTGTATAATTAAGTCTATTAGTTTATTGTCCAGATAGCATATAGAATGGAAAGTCTTTGTAGGTAAGATCCCAAGTCAGGAAACTAACTTCTGTGGTCTTTGGATGTGGAAACGTTTCCAGACTTGGTTAGAGAAGGGAATATAGCAAAGGCCCAGAGATTTAGTGGTATAGCTGGTCCGAGTGTTACTGAACCTGTATACTAAAATGGGCATGAAAATGCTCACAAGGAGTGATGATATATGTATTGCGAAATCTGATCTGCAGGCTGGAATGACAGAGGACTTTTTGGTAGCTCCTGTAGTCTGACCCTAAGAAATGAGCACACAGACCTAAGAAATTACGCACACAAAATCATTAAAAGGCTTCATGAAAGATTTATTGAAATTTCAAGAAGTTAAAGCCCATTTTGAAGACATTTCAAATTTTTATGTATGTATGTGTTAACAGCACACACTCTTAGTGGAATAATGAGATACTTATTAAAAATATAATTTTTCAATTTACTACCGCATTCATTGGCCTAGATTTCTCCAGGGATGATTTGAGGGGTTTGGGTATAGCAGAAGTTCAATGTAGAAATAGCCTGTTGAATTTGTTGCAGCAGTTAGAAGGGGTATGGTAAAAGAGGAGTACTGTGTCATAAAATATGAGACTGTTTTGTCCTTGAGTGCGCCATAGTACTCAAGTGATACAGTACACAGTTTAATGCTAGTCATGTCCTATAAAAGAATAATTCACAGATGAGCACTGTCTCAGCACTGCTACTTTTTCCGAGAACCCAATTTAATATTCTGGGTAGTACTTGTAGAACTGTAGAGCAGTCACAGGTGTCACTGACGTGGATGGGAGCTATGCTGTGAAGATACGAAGTGCAGTATAATAAAAAAAAATCGTATTCCAAGTGTCTCATCTTGGACACCCATAACTAATGAGAGCCTCTGATCAAAATCTATCTGATAGAAATGAAGGAGTTAAAGACATATAGACATACACTGAGTAATGAAGATAATACAGAACGTTTTGAGTAGCTGTTTAACTGAGCTACTCGTTCACTGCATGGAAACAATAGCATACGATCATGTATTTAAACTTATCAGAAGGCAGATTATAACAGGGATTGCCGTTGTTTCTACAGTCGTTATTTCTAAATAACTGATTTTGTTCCATCAGTTTACTTTTTTAATGTCATTTGTACTATATATATAAGCATTAATAGGCAATATAAATATGAAAATACGAAGTCCAGAGACTTAGCTCCTATGATTTTTATTTAGGTATGGCTTCATCACTTTTGAAACCCAAGAAGATGCACAAAAGATTTTACAAGAGGTAAGCAATATTCCCCATTATGATTATCTCTTAAATGAAATACTTAATTTCACAGTAGTCACCCCATTATGGTTATCTCTTAAATAAAATATTTCATTTCACGTAAGTCACTCAGTAGCTTGGTCCTGTATTTGCCAGGTAGGTTTGGTCAGGTTTGCCAGGTAAGGTTGGTCATTATGCCTTTTTCATCCCACATAGTTAAGACAATGGCTCAGACAGATCAAAGGGAGGATTTATGCTGCGATCTTCTGGAACTGGAGAAGGGACTTGTCACCTCATAGTTGAGCTCTAGACTTTGACAAACATTCTTTACTTTCTCATCCTTTACGTACTCCATAAAGTAGTAGTTCTGGTGCATGCTAATTACTCGTTATCCTTCACAATTGCTTTAATATGCTTCAGTAGAAAATTTGTCATTGCGAAGATTTTGTGGGGAGTTGGGAAGGATAACTGCTGTCTTTTATTCTGACATGCTCGATTGTGAGAGCTGACATCACTCTTCTTAGGAATAATTAGATTCACTTGAGAAATCTTGAAGCTCATTTTATGTCACGTAATTGTTGCTTCTGCACTTAGCTAGGTTACCATTTTAATGTTCTTACCAGAACCTTTCTTGAGATAGGGGTCATAGTTTGGCTCCTCACGTCTTAATGTTTGAAAATTTATGTTCCATGGTCTGATTGGAATTGGTTGGATAGGTCTATCAGTCAGGACCTGTTTATATACATGAAGGTATCTGAAAGAAAGAAGACCAGAAAATAGTACCCGAGGCTTGTAAATTGTCCTTTCCAAGTGTAAAGCTGTTGAAAATGTTGAGAAACTGAACGGATGTTGAAATTTTGCATATGAAAATTAAAAATAACGGGACATTTTAAATGAAATCCTCATGAGTGCTTTTAAAAAATATAGGTGTGTGGAGCTTAGAAGAACAGAGAGAGGAAAATAGGAAGGAACTTCCCAAGTCACCTATTTTTCTTGACCAGTTTTTGTTGTCTGTGTCCTCTATAAACTATGAGAGTACCAATGATTCTGAGGACCATTTTGAAAAAGGTGTAGCACTTTTCCTCTGTTGTGACCGGAAGGCTGTTGACTGTAAAGCCTTCCTGGTGCCTCATTCAATGATAGTAATGCTTTTTTTTTGTCTACTGAAAATATCTTGACTTGGACATCCTACCATTGTATCACCTTTTTCACCAATGCGCATCATACTGCTGTCTCATATTCATTCTACAGTCAATTAGTATCTAGGTCTTTCTTTCTCAGATGCTTTCAGTTGATGAGTTCCCAAGCTTTAATAACTTATTTTGCTTTAAATGAATGATGTTTCATTTTGTACTATTGAATTTTATCTCATTTACATTACTGGTGTCTTCAGGGTCATCCTGTACTTTTTGTATGATATTCTGATCATCTTCTGCGTTGATTTTTGCCTCCTACTTTTGTATCATCAGTAACTTCTTCAGCTTTTTTTTTTTTTTTAATGTTCTAATCTATGATGAAAGTGTTAAATTGGATAAATCTCAAGAACAGACCTTGAGGAGTTTCACCAGCATCTTCTTTCCAGCCAGATACTATCACTTCTAACGCTACCTCTTCCCGGCACAGCTTTTCATATTCATCCCTGTTTTCGCTAGAATCACTTGTAATTTCTCTTGCAGTGCTGTATTAAATGTTTCAAAGAAGTGCATAGACATTAGATATTTTTCTTAACTGAGAGTCATATCTATATATATGTATGTATATATATGAAAGCAATCTAAATTCTGATGGATCGTATCAGTGAAAAAGATTGTGTTGGGAAGGATCTTCTTCTTATAGCCTGTGTTGGGAAGCAGTTTGACCGAAATGTGCATCTGTTTTTCAGGGGTTGCTCTATGTTTATTAGGTAGGTATGTTTGCCCTCGTTAATACTTTTTTTTATGAAGACCCAAATTCAACACAATAGTTTAGCCTCTTCCTAGTTTTTGATTCCAAGGGTGGGACTTTGTTTTACATACAGGTGTTCAACCATTTTGCTAAACTGGGCCCAAATGAAGAAAGTATTTTGATTATCTAACTATTGTCCTTTTGTTGGATGAGATTTCTAACTATATTTCTGTCTATATTCCTCTTTAAGTTAAGTCATAAATTGTCTACCTACTGCAGAAATTACAGCTCTAACAGTGAAAACTTACTGTAATATGGTAGTGTTTTGCATACATACTCTTATGTAACTATTCATGGTAGCAGACCTTCTTATTCTTTTAGGTTTGACAAAGCAGTATTAAAGAGGTCTGATAGCTTAAAAAAAAAAAAAAACTGGCTTTTTGCCCTCTTTGTTCTCATTATATTAACAGTACTGTGCTTATTTTGAGTTCCAAAGAAAGGCAAAATTTTTGTTTTATTTACATGGCGTATATGACATCTACTTTCTATTATATGCAAAAGAATTAGAAGATAGTGTAGTTCTACTGTTCTGTAGCTAGCACTTTTTGAGTTCTTCTGCTACAGTTCAACTTTACTGGTATATTTGTTCTAGCCTGCTTTTATATTTTGTTAGCCTGGATGCAAGTAAGCTTTAAGGCAGTCCTAAGTGAATATGAGAACTTCTGTATTCAGTCCTTATAATCTGGTCCTTTCCATATAATTATTTGTTGCTGTCATCTTTTACAAAATATGTCGCAATCATGAGAAATGAAATTTCATCTTTATACTTGAAATTGTCTGTTTTTGTACACATATGCTTTTATAAAAGCACTAAATGCATGACTGCATGAGGACAAACGTAAAACTAAAAACTAACAATGATAGTTATCCATTGTTAGTCAGGAGGCTCCGTTTGGAGTAAAGAATATTTGAAATTACTTTTGATTACGTGAAGTCTAAGGTTAGGATAGAAGAGGAGCTATTACGATTTTGTGGTTTTGAGGTACACTGCAAGTAAAAGGCAGGGGAGGGGTGGAACGTACTATGTGGCTTGTCTACTTTTGATTTTAATTTCTTGGATGCCTAGATATATGTAGAAAATACAAATACTGAATGCCGTTTTTTTTTTTTTTTCTAGGCTGAAAAACTTAATTATAAGGATAAGAAATTGAATATTGGTCCAGCAATAAGAAAACAGCAAATAGGGATTCCTCGTATGTATTTTCACTTATGTTTGTATGTTATGTATGTAAGTGTGATTATGAATATAAATTTTTAACCAGAATGTGCCTAGTCTTGCACTGCTTTAATGCTGTGCATGGCATACACGTAGAATAGTCAGTAGGGGAGGTAAATACATACCAGTGGAAGTGTTCTAAGAAATAGATAGATGATCTTTGGTTCTTTTATCTCTTTTAATGTGTTCTTTATATCATTTCTTGGAAAAAATTATATATCTAGGGTACAAGCTGAATGGAAATTTCTCTCTTGAATGATGGTATGCCACTTACAGTTGCCAGGCAGAGCCTCAAATCTAAACGCTTAGGTAGACTGTCCTCACAGATTCTACAAGATAGAGAGGGTTTTGCTGATTGGTTGATTGGGTTGATACTGATTTTGGATGAGCAAAATCTCTCAGGACTGTTGCACCTTTCTTTCTATAGTAAAAACTGTAAGGAGTGGATGGTTGTAGTCACTGCTTAGTTCTTACAAGTCTTTGTTGTAAGGTAATGGCTCTGGGTTCCTTCTCTAGCAAAGTACTTAGGCTGAACGTTTATATTAGAGGAGTATTGAAAGTTTTCTTTGCCGCATGGCTGTTCTTTATTTTGGGTAAGTATAGTGGTACGATGTTCTTCTGGGGGAGACCTTTGTATTATACAGATTTGCTTCTAGAGAAGATACCCTCCCCATCTGCCAGGGGCTATTTTATTTCTGTAATACACTGCTGAAAATTCAGAACGTAGATCACCGCTTGCTAAGATCTAGCAATTTTTTGACTGAGCTGTGCATGCTGTTTTGTTATTCTTCAGTAAGGGCTGTATATCCGAGACGTAACTTGTACTTGCCTTCAGTATTAGTTTTTGGTATAGCTTGGAAGAGTTGAAACAAACCTTTGCTCATCTTCCAATTGAGGACTATACTGAAGAATTTTAGTTGAATTTTTAAATTTTCTTTAGCTGTTGATACTCTCACTTTATTGATGAGAAACAGTCCATGTGTACGTTAACGGTGTTGCTGTAGATGCATTTTTCACTCAAGACAGAACATATTTCCCACTCCTTTCTCCTCCTCATATGTATGGGTACGTCCTTCTCCCTTCTAAGCCAATGAGGTAGCATTTGCCCAGGGGAAACGGAGCGCTTGGTTCCAGCTGTACAGTTTCTTTCCTTTAGAAATTATTCAGCATGATCTCTGCTCTGTCATCATCAAGGAGCTGTGCATGTCTTCTGCTGTGCTTTGTTTCCCTGTCCATCTCTGACTTGGACTTTCCCATTGCATTGCCAGATTTTTAGTGGTGTTTCCTTCCTCTGACTCTCATGCTGAACATGTGTATTGATTAGAAGAGGGGGGCATATCACTGACTGTGCATTTTAAGTCTGGGACCTAAGGAAATGGGGGGGGGGGGAAAAACCTTCAAAACCATATTCTGAAGGCAGCTACTCAGTCCTTTTGAGATATCTGTTCTTGTAGTCAGTACCAACTGGTCCTGTTTGACTCTGCCACCTCCAGTTCAAGCCTACGGTAGATCTGTGGTACGCGATGAGACTGACGTGTAGGAGTATATCCCAGGATCTGATTTCAGTATATTTGTTCTCATGCTCAGCCTACTAACGTAATCACTAGGATGAGTAACACTGTCTTATTGCAGCTCCTTTTGAGACTTGTGAAGCCAGAAAACCTAGACTCGCAAGTACCACTGTAGGGCTTGTGCTCTGTTGTATTTAGTAGAGTTGAAGGAATAGTCCCCTTAGTCTCATTTATTGCTGTCTTCTCCAGTGCAGCTGAAATCTAGCACCTTTCTTCCTCTAAGTTTTACAATTTTCAGCTCTGCTGTCATCATACTACCTTTTGTGCTAAGATTTGAGCATGTTGGGAGGATCACTATTTTCACAATTAACACCGTGCAAGTCTGACATACGAATAGAGTACGCTATGCCCAGTGGAGTGTTTTTTTTTTTATCAGCTCACTCACCAGCAGTTACCTAGATTCATTGTGAGGAGCTCCTATCCTTTGCTGACTCTGTGAGTGTATGAGTTTTTCCTTTTCTTGTATTGTCCGGGGTGGTCACAGATGCAGGTGTCAGAATCAAGACAGTGACAGATTGTTTATCCAGGCTGTGACTGGTAGGGGCAGGCAATGTTTCTGTGTTACGTATCTCAGTGGGAGCAAGCAGCTGCCCTAAGGTTGTGATCAGATATCCTAAGCTTCAGTTTAGGGGAGCAGAAATAAAGAAAAAAAAAAATCTTCAGCCTTAGGTATCTAATATCCCATGTCTTTTCCAGAAGTGGGTTGAAAATCAACGTTCAGGTACTGCTGTTCCTCACAGGCTTTTGAATAGGGCCTTTTTAAACAGTTCAACCATGTTCAGTCCATGAGTTTTAAGGGTTCCAAGACTACTACCCAGCCCTTTGGGAAATTCTCCCCATTGTGGAAAAGAGGTCTCCAGTCAGCACACCTGTGGTGGTTGTGCTGTTTCAGGTTGCCCAGGCAAGAGAAGACAGCAACTGAGAAGGAGAGGTTTTATGCTACTCTTCCTGTTCGGTGCAAGTAGGGGCAAAAATAATGAAAGTCTGTCTTGACTTGGAAAAAACAAACTCTTTCACCCACAAATTAAGGTTGAAACTTTTGGCTCATACCATGGCACCCAGAGTTGAAGAGAAAGCCATAAGAGCATCTGCTTTTCCCTTACTATGGGCCAGGAGCATCATCAGGGAGATTCTGCTTGCTTTTCTCCAGCACCAAGGACTATGAAAATGAACATTCTGAAAACTGCGAAGCACAAATCAAACTTGAACAACTGGAAGAAGAATAACTAGTTGTTGTGAGCTGGGAGAATTTTAGATAGCTCTACCTCTCCCAGATTGTTTTGTTTTTCTGTCGTGGTGGGCTTGTTGGGTTTGATGGAGCATGTTGCCTTTCCATTTGCCAGGGAGATCTTCAACAGAAGCAGAACATTCTGTGCAACGTACTTGGCATAGTGGACTGGATTTTTGGCCAGGGTATCCTGTTGGCGTCTCCTCATTTCAAATGCCAGTAACTACTATTCTAGTTTTCTTGCTGGAACTGAAGTATTCCAATTATTCTCAGGTCCATTTTAAAGTTAACCTGACACGGGCCATTTTGGCCTATGACCTTCCATTGTATAGTGCTTTTGCTTTATTGTATTCAGGAGTCCTCAAACTTTTGTAGGAGTCGGCCAGGCTGTTACCATCCATAAACAGCCTTCTTGGTCATTCACTTAGCATTCTAGTCATCTCTTCAGTCTTGGGCCAGTACATAAAATGGCATTTCCGGGTGGCAGTTACCTTTGGAAGGAAGATGAGAAAACTAAAGCCTGTTCAGTGATCTTTACATTGTGTTCTTGCTGTTTGAATTTTTCCATGGTATGTTACTTTTTAATGTGATTTCAAGATTCCTGTTTCAGTGAGAGATTTGAATTTATTTTCACTGTTGATTTTTTTTTTTTTTTTTCCAAGAAGTCTCATATATTTGAAACTGAAACCTGTCCTCATGTTTGATATGAAGCTTCTAGAGAAACATGACAGTTGTTGGGGGGGAGGGGGAGGTGAATTCTTGTTTTTTAATCCAGACAGAAATGAAATCTAGGTGATCCCCAAGGCAATATCTGAGAAAGTTAAATGACCTCTGCATTGGGATGGAAATCCTTTTATTTGAATAATGATTACTGTCAGTATCTGTTGGAGGGCTGTGGAGACGGAACTCTGCTTTGGGATCAAACCACACTCGGTTATAGCCCATGCAGAGATGGCTCCATGGCTGAAAGGTGTCCCTCTTGCTGATATCTGAATATTATTTCTTATTTCTACCAGACAGTGTGCCATCACAGAAACACACAATCTTTGTGCATTGAGAAACCAGGCTGCATTTTTGTAATGAAATCCTTCTGTTGTTTCTAGTGTTTGGATCCTGTTTCAGCTAAATATTCATATATGGAGGTTACCAATGAAAAATCTCCCACAATTTGAAGGTACCTGTGGACATTTGAAGATTCAAAAAAAACATATATTTGCTGGTAATTGGAGTTGTCTGTGTTTAGTAGCTGACATGCATGTCATCTTCTGCACTCCTTCCCATCTACCTGTGTTATCCTGTGACCATCTGCTTTCAAGATTCTGTGTTTGAGAGGGAACTGAGATAGCACTAGGCACACTCTGCCCCATGCTCTTTCCTTTGAGTGTCAGTTTCGGTTCTCTGAAGATTAGATTTCTTTTTTAATGTGATTTACATATTTAAAAAATAATATTTTATTGGTAAGCAAACCATTTTAAAAAAATTTAATTTCAGGATCTAGCGTAATGCCAGCAGCTGGAACAATGTACTTAACTACTTCAACTGGATATCCTTATACTTATCACAATGGAGTGGCTTATTTTCATACTCCTGAAGTTGCTTCTGTTACACAGCCGTGGCCTGTAAGTAATTTATTTTTGTATATTTGCTTTTCTGTGGACCAGGATCAGTCCAAGATATACAAGTCTCCCCTGTTTGGGGTTTGTCCAGCTATGCCCTTTTTCTTGATGGTTAAATGACTGCCTTCTCTCAGTCCGTTCTTTTTTGTGTGTTTTTTGAAGTTGCTTAAGTTTGTTGTTCTTCTGCAGGGGCCTTTGCTTTGATGCCATTTTCTGAATAGAAACCACTTCAGAATCAATTGAGTCCCTACTCCAGGAGAAGATTTTTTTTTTTTTTTTAACTAATACAGAGGAGTTGATCCTTGTGACCTTTAATTGACTCCATTATTATTCCTTTCTGAGTATGGAATTCTTGGCTGCAGTAACTGTTATGTTGAGGATGGGAGGAAAATTAAATGGTAGATCAACAAAGCAAAAGTGAAATTGAGGCATCTTACATGTACTCTTCAAGAGTACTCTTATTTTAGGAGGAAGATAATGCCATAGATGAACTATATCGTGTAACTGGGCTTGGGGAAATCGGACAGAATTATTTGTCAGGTACAGGAAGGTTGTCAGTGACTTTAGTTTTTTGAGAGAGGGAGGGATTAAAACACTGCATAATGTACAGGACCAATGCAGAATATGCATCCCTATTAATTTCTGTAAAAGCAGCATTTGCTGAGGCTGTATGTATGAATGCAAAATCTCTTCACGTATTAGGAAAAATTCAATGGAATCTATTACTGCCCTCATCTCTCTTTTGGGAAAGTTTTTTTTTTTTTTATTTATTAGTCCATACTTGTTCCAGTAATGGTAGGTGTTTATTTTGGCACTGTAGAATCTTGTTCTCAGGATTTATTAACCTCTGTTTTAATCACTTCTATTGTAATTTTTAAGCTGTTTGCTCTTCCCAGGGGGAATGACATTTGTGACTGACAACCTCATAGTGCCCCGTCAGCTTTAGAGGAAAGGCATAAATACCTGTTTGTGTTTTAGAAAGCCTTTTTGTTAATGCTCAGTAGTTTTAGAGAACTTCCTCAAATCCTGCCTGTTGGAAAAGGCCACGAATATTTTTACTGTGTTCTTGTACTGAACTTTGGCACGGATGCCTTGGCCCAGGTCCATTACATTTCAAACATATACTGCTCGATGTTTCCAATTACAAATGGTACTGCCTATTTTGGTCTCAGTTCTTTACATACTCTTCACTTTCATTGTTAGGAAAGTATCTATATCAAGAATTTAAAAAACAGCGGCATTGAGGTTTTAGAAAGTGTGATCTATACTGAAGGTATTAATACCTTTTTGATTGTAGTTTTGAAATGGGTAACTTTTTAATGGTCTGAAATGAATCTTTTTTTTTTTTCCGTGTTGCATCCTGTGTTTTCATATGATGGAATGAATTAGAGTAGCATTGAGGCTGTTCTTTCTTAAATATTTGCAAGAATGAGGGAGTTTCGTGACATGGGGAATTACACAAAGTAGCTTTAACTGATCAAAACTAGAGGTCCATGGTCCTGTGTTGTCGTCTACCCCGGCCGTTTGTTTCTGCCCCTTTTCTTTCAGTGGTGTTTTCTGACCCTAAACTGGCCCCCCCAAAAAACAGGTAAGTTTTGAGCTGGTTTAGCTCTCTAAACTGGCTTATTGCCAGATCAGATGAATGTTGGGGCTGGTGAGAAGAAGGGAATGGGAAAGGGAACATAAGGCTGGGGCTGCAGAGAGGGTGAGAACACACCAGTGACAATTTAAATTGCCCTGAGTTGTAAAATGTACCTATGGTCAGGACATGTGAACGGTTTTAGAGAGAGGTGCTTTTTGGAAAGGAGTAAGTACACGTGCTAAAAGACTTTTGCTTCATCAATAACGAACCCTTGGAAGCAGTGGTCTTGAAGAATCAGCGCAAGTAAATCCCCTGGCAGAAGGGAGGGGACTATTCAGCATGTAGTACTTCAGGTCTGTTGCTAATAAGAGAGACAGTTTATGAAATTGCTACATTAAGGCTTATAACTTACTGTTTTGTTTTGTTTTAAGTCACGCTCTGTTTCCAGTTCGCCAGTGATGGTAGCTCAACCGGTTTATCAGCCTCCTACGTATCATTATCAGGTATCTGTTTGAGATGGGTTTCAGGACTCCTTCCAACCATGCAATTTTATTTGCAGCACTGTCTCGGTGCTGTTTATTCTTAACAAATAGAAAATCCAAAATAGAGTCACATAAAGCAAATTTTAATTTCATTGAAGGTTTTCTTTTCACTAGAATTGAATTTCTTCCTGCCTAACTAACTACCTGGAAACTGAATAAATTTAAACTTCATTTTGTGTTGCTAGACAGCTGGCTTAGTACCACCCTTAATTTTTGTAATCTGTCATCATTTTATTATCTAATCCAGCTTCCTGCTCAAAGCAGGGCCGTTAGATCAGGTTGCTCAGGAACTTGTACCGTTGAATTTTAAGTATCTCCAGCAGTGGAGATTCCACAGCCCTTCTGGACAGCCACTTCCACTATTTGAACATTTCTTAAGTGTTTCATTACTTCAGTAGCTAAGAAATGCCCAAGGCAGAGGCTTGAGTGGAAATTGACAAGATAGCTGTTCCTAAATCTTTTGAGGCTTATGAAAATTAATTTTTGATCTTTTAAATTAAGATTTGAATAAAGATTTGGGGGGGTTGACTGCAGTATATTGGAAAGGTGTATGAATGCGTATATTCTTAATTATATAAATAATAATTTTTTTTGTTTCAATGTAGGCACCAACACAGTGTCTTCCAAGTCAGTGGCAGTGGAGTGTTCCACAGGTAAAATACAGTTCACAGCTGCAGCATTTTACCGTTAGTTTGCATTTAGTTTAAAGGTACAGTGTGTTCTTCCAGTTTTTGTTATAGTTTCCCTTCAAATCAAATGATAAAATTAAATTTCCCACTAGTTACAACACTGTTGAAATAAATACTAGTTGCCGTATTTTAACCACGCACTTGCAACACTTAAATATAGTAGAGGGCGTAAGATAGCATTTACTGACGTATCAAATCTAAATTCTTTACAAAGAAAGGCTCTTTCTCCCTGTCCTCACTGAAATATCTGGGTACAGAAGAGCAATCATTAGTTCTGAGAAGCCAGGTTAAACTGCCACTTTTTGCCTGATAGGAGAAATGAGTATTAACTAGCTCCCTGATACCCCCGTGATGTATTTCCGCTAATACTCTGAAAACCAGACACGCAAGTATGGTGAAATTAGACTCAGACCCTTGCAATAGGAGGAAGACCATGAAATTGCTGACGTCCTAACTTTTTGTGGGTTTGGTTGGTTTCGTGATCCTTATAGCAAAGGAGCTAATATGGAAATCTTGCCATTCAAGGGATTTGAAGAGTTTGAAGTTAGAAGGAGCATTAAGGCCCTTAACCTTGAAGTGTTATGATATGTCCTCATTACCTTAGTAGCAGGCGGCCAGATCCTATTTGGGTCAGTTCCACTCTGTTAATCAGTCTGTTGCTTTGAAAACTGGGTGCTGAAATGTGTTAGGTGTGTTGTACGTAGGCAATGACATAATAGTCTTCTAAACTTTGGATGCCTTGTTCATAGCTCCTGCTGCAGGGTACGTTTTTTTTAAGAGCAGGACTACAGGGTCCTGCTGTTCAACTTCTGTCTTAGCCCTTCCAGTGAAACAAACTGATCTTCTTCCAGGGAACTCTTACCTCTGGGTATAAGGAGAAAAAACACAAGATCTGTTCAGGTAGCTCGTTGGCTAAACCAAAAATGCCTTGAAAAGTAGATCTGTAATTTAATATTTTTAATACATGAACAAGTAGAGATGTATGGGTAAGCCTAAGCATTACAAAAGATACTGTGTTTTTTTTTTCTTTAAACAAAATGCTCTATTATTTGTAATGTAACTTTTTTACGAGAGAAAAAAACTTTACTGTTTCTGCAGTTTTCAGAGTAAATGTCAGTTTTATAAAGTTTTAGGATTTCTTTCACAATTTTCTTTAAAAGGTAAATATTAAAAAAAAAACCATGTTTTTAATTGATCAGAGGACATTTTTATGTTTTGTCTTGCTGTCTGACTTTTTCTGCCCACTTCCCCCTCAGTTAGTTTCTTTAGGTTATCAGAGTTGAATTTGACACTTTCTTTAAGGCTTTACCTTCACTTATATGTAGCAAGAAGACTGTAAAATAAGCTTTGCTGACTTATAGCATGTAAATCATAATTTATAGAAGTGATGTGTTTTATTTCAGTCTCCTGCCTCTTCACCTTCATTCTTCTATCTGCATCCATCTGAAGTCATTTATCAGCCAATAGAGATTACCCAGGAAGGCGGATGTATACCTGCTCCTCTCTCTGTAGTGGAAGCTGCAGTTCCTGAGGTATTTTTATGACAAATTTTACTTGCAATTCAAATGTTTATCTGCTAGTGAAAAACATAGACTTTTAGTTTAAGCGCAAGTAGTTCAGAGCACTTATGTCAACTGTTCCCTCTACTTTTTCCCCCCACATCCATACTGCTGCTGTTAAGTAATTTCAGTTGTCTTGAAGCTAGAGCATCTCTTCCACAGTTTCCTAGGAGGATGCTTTGGTTCTGATATATTTTAGAAAGTCTAATAATGTATGACAGACAGCAATATGAAGACTAGTCAAAGTATTTCATTTATAAGAAACAAGTTTAAACAAAGTGGGGCTTAAACAGAACTGAGTGTTCCGAGTTCCGAATTAATCTAGCCAAACCACATCAGCTTCTTGAAAGGCTTTTTCTTTGTGTGTAGAAACTAGTTTGTAAATATTCTGAAGGTGAGAATGAATTAAGAATAGTTGGATGACTAAATCAATTCTACTCTTCTTTGCCTATTAGTTTTTTGTTTCTCCATCAACAGCAGTTCTGATCTTTAAGAGATTATAATGTACAATAAGGCTGATTACAAAATTGAAAATATATTACGATTAATTGATACTTTGCTGAAGTCATTCTTCATTAAAAGAAATTTTTTTTACAAAAATTAAATACTTTATTGCCACAAGAGTAAAGTTCCAAAACTGGTTTTCCAAACTTCTTTGATGAAAAATGCTGACACACCTAAACAATTTAGTTTCCCTACCAAGTTGTTCTTGCTGCTCTTCAGTAATAAAAGACTTTGGTTGGTGGATTTTTTTTTCTTTTTGAAAATGTGTAAACATCAGTGTTTATTTTACAACCATAGATTCTATTGTCCATTTTACTGTTTTAACTCTTGTATTTCATAAATCAAATATTGATCAGCTTATATACAGAGACATTTGAAACGTGTGAACGATAAGAAAACCCATGAAATTAGTTAAGGCAAATATTTGGATGTATCATGCTCTCAGTTCACAGGTACATATTTTGCTGATGTTAAAGGAAGCTGTATGTGGAAATTCAGAAGACTGTAAAATTCAAAGAAAGGCACTTGCAATATATTTACATAGAAATAATACAAGTGTGATAAATGCTGGGTATGATGTTTCAATATGCTAATCTACTCATTTAAACACTGTGCTATTGTAGCTGAGTGAGATGGATTTGTGATACAGAAGTGTGCTGCTTCTGTCAAGGAAAGTGCTTTGTGGCACTGATTTAAATAAATTATGTATACACCAAAACTGTGGTACAGATTTCAATTTTGAAATCTCAATTTTTAAAGTCATTGATTAACCAGTCAGTAGTTCAGACTAATTTAGCCCACAATTTGAAATTTTCAGGAGTCTAAATGTATCTGAAAGGCTTGCGAAACCGTAACAATGTGAAACAAGCTTTGCTGCTCTTCTTGTAAATAAATAAAATTCTTGTTTGCTTTTATACCAGCCATATTCTGATCATGGAGTTCAAGCAACTTATCACCAGCTTTATGCCCAGAGTGCCATAGCCATGCCAGCACCTGTGATTCAAACTGAGCCAGTTAAAGTAAGCACTGTAGTCTTACTGTCTTCTTTTTTGAAGGGGGACAGGAAGAGAAGAGGGGCAAGGATGAAAAAACCTTTTATTATGAATTAGTAAATCAGGAAAACAGAAATGTTGCAAACAAACCAGTTTTTTCTTTACTTGAGGCTTTGTTACAGAGGACAGAGGGATTCCTTGTTCTGGAACTGTTTTCCACCTTGTGGAAAATTAAAAAAAAAAAGAAAAGAAAAAAGAAAAAAAAAAAGAAAAAAAAAGACTAGTTACTTTAAAACTTGTGAGATAAGTAAACTGCAAATGAAAAATGTATTTTGAGAGAAAACAGTGAACCTTGTTCATTTCTTTGATACGATAGTTATAAGTTCTTGTCTTTACGTCTCTGGATCTTGAGCGGTTTAGTTCATTGCTTGCAGCCTTAGGCAAGCAACTCATTCTATGGCAAGGTGGAGGTTTTGGACAGCGAGCATGAAAATTGTCCCTGTTGGCCACCTTCAAGTATTTTTCTGCGCGCTTCTGATTTTGAATGGCCATTCTAAAATATCTGGTTCTTCCAAACTGAGGCAAGCTTTTTAGAGTCCCAGTTTGAGGTCCTGTGGCCTAAATTACTAAAACATTGTTTTAACAGGATGTGTAAACATCCTAAATTAGATTTACTCTCTGGTGCCTGTTACCACATGATAACAAAGGGCTGAAGGTATTCAGTAGTTTTACTTGATATTTTAGTGCTTGTTCTGTGAAGAGAAGATGCTTACTCAACTACAAATGACAGAATAAATATGAATGAATCGAAGCTATGTTATAGGCTGTGTCTGTCTTTTATAACTTTTTATTTTATTTTACATTTCTTTTAAGAGAGAAGAATTTTTTTTCCTAGAGTACTTACGTAACAATGTCTACTAGGTATTTCCAGTAGAGGGTGCTGTAACATTATGTTGTCTTGTATTAAACTGCAAATAGTCCAATAAAAGAAGAAAATAGAAGCTGAACATGAACTTCAGAAGAATACTCATCCTGAGTGATTCATACACTCAAGATATACCTGAAAGGGGTTTGGTAGAGTGCAGTGATCATTCTCAGTTTACATTCCACTTTCAGCGGTGTGTGAAAACACTGAAAACATTGGCAATTGTAGTCTCAGAATCAAAAATAAGTGCATGCTTATTGTATCAGAAAGAAGCATAACTTTTTCCTCATACTCAGCATGTATATTCAAGAAAGTTCTATAAACTTCAGAATAAATTTCATCTGGATTAAGTTCTCAATAAAAGGAATGTTAATCGTATAGGCATATACACCTATGAAGAAAACCGACGACTAGTGTGGTCAGACATCATTTGTGGGCTTCATTTTGTTTTTTCTTCTGCTAACGGTGAAACTTTTTTAGTGTATGTAGCATGTACTCCTTTCACAGAAAGCAAGTTTTTGTACCTTGAAACTTGACTTGTATCTTTCCTAGGACCAAGGCTATATGAACAAGATAGTGTCAAGTAAGTTACAAGATAGATTTAGAGCATGATAGCTCTTCCTCTTCCACAGTAATTGTCGCAGTACCATGCCTTTTCTCATAGCAAAGGCAAAGTAGTTTACTCCAGGATAAATGATACAGGCTGTGTTGATTTACAGTAGAATAAGGACATGCGTGTTAAGGCCATATTTGAATGGTTACTGTGGCATAGGAAGTGAGCTGCAAATCCATACTCTTACTTATCTCATTACATTATGTCTTTTATGTTTATTCCTAGCTTTAGAAGTAGTTTCACACACAGCCAAAGCTGGCATAAACCATTTCCATTTTCCACGCTGCCCGTTTCCTGTGTTAACGCAGGTTTTCATGCAACTATATGGCAAGGCAGGTCAGGGAACTGATGGCGTTTAAGATGGAGCCTCATTGCCACCCGCACCACCTAAAAGAGCTAACTTAAACTTGAATCGGTTCCCCAGACCGGTTTATCAAGCAGCTGCACACGGCCTCGTACTTGAACAAGGTTTGGAATAGGATAGAGGAAGGAAGGCTCGTGTTTGCGGTGCAGGTCTAAGCCTGATTAAACTAAGCACAGAACTGCTAACCCTGTTCATTCCTGCATTGTGTTTGTGGCTCCTTCTTTCTTGTCTTCTCAAAAGTCTTCTAATTGGAGTCCGTCACGGGAAATTATGGACTTGAAAGTTATGAAAGCTCTGATCAGTTCTCCAGTAGATTCATAAATATGGTTAAACCCTTATAAAGACTTGGAGAATTCTGATAAATTTATTCATTGCAAGATAACGATGGCTACTAGTTTTGATATTTTTTAGCAGTTTAGTAGTAGTTAGTAGGTCTGAAATATAATTCTCCATCTACCTTTTTCACCTAATCCTAACGAATTTGGATATATTTCATGCATAATGAATTTGATCAGCTCGTATTGTGTCTGTCACTATGGCTGGACATTCAGCAACGATTGAAAAAGGAGCAAGTGTTGAGAGCAGACTGGTGTGCATTGAGCAAGCGGTCACATCCTTACCACCTGCTCCTCAGCTGTGTAAAGACACTACCTGCTGGCGACAGTCTTAAAATATCCCAGCAAATGTATCTTTGCTGCTTGAGAAATGCCAAATAGTGGCCGTGTAAGAGAGAACGCATTCTAAAATAAGGACCTTACCTTGAAGGTAATTTGTTAATTGTCTCCTGTACAGACTTGCATTAGGAATAAACTTTATAGATACCTTATAGTAGGATATATAAGTCATATGGCAAGAGTAGTATGGGTCTAGCCAATATCCAGATATTTTTGGCTTTGGTGGACTTTCACAGCTTTCAAATGTAGCTCAAAACAGAGTATGCGTTGCAGTTATATTGTGATAAAGTCACAAAGGTGAACAAGAAAAATGGTCAAAATGTTCATTAAAGAAGAAACTCTCACGTTTCTGAGCCAGCGTTTCCATTGCTGGTGCGGATACGTAAAAAGGGAGCTCAGTTCATCGCTCTTGTGAACCATTCAGCAGATAACAAAAGAAGCTTCAGTTCTGGCATTTTTATGCCATTCATTTTTCATTTTCTCTGTTTTACCACTTAAATAGTTTTGTGTTGCTAGTCTTTAAGATGAAAATTAGAAGAAAATGCTCTGTAATTTCTGACTGTATTTCATTTTTTAGATCCAAATTTGGTATTTAAAATAAGGCTTGAATCCAGAATGCTAAATCCTTTGCACTTTATGCACGTATTTGTTAACGATACATTGTGTTTGCAGAAGTTGGAGGATTATAGCAGATTTTGTTCATGAGTATGTGGAAGTGGTTCCATCTTAAGCACACCTATGCAAATTGTTGACGTTTACTCATACAGTTGACATTCTCAACGACTGCGTGGATTGCTAGGTAGCGTTTGGGTTTTTTAGGAAACTTGAATTCTTTGCCATCTCCACCAGATCTTGTGCAGTGTTTTGGATCTAAAATTGTACTCTGATATGGGGATTGATGTTTTGAGTGCTTCTAGAGGAGAGGTATGAGACTGTGTTTGGTAGTAAGATCTGTGTAGTCCACAGTTACAGCAGCCACTTGAGGGGAGATTGTAATTCACGTTTTCTGGCTCCAGATCTGGGAGAAATACTTTTGATTTAAATTTTATTTTGGTGGATGGTTATGTTGGGTTCTGAACTATTGGCCTGCTAAATGTTTGTTGGATACTGTGTACGTATGAGGGGGACTTTGTGAGGCCTGGGGAACTGAGCACCATAGCTGCAGTTTACCAAACCCGAGCAAAGGTGTGACAAGTATCCATCCCGCCCATGGAGGTGGATAGGTGGGTGGTTTGGGGGTTATTATTTGCTTGGCTTCAGGCTTTTGTGCCTCTTCTCAGTCATCTTTTCTGACTGCAGAGTACTTGTTAGGGGGTGGCATGCTTCTAGTCTCAAAGAGCTTTTGCTGTTCCTACAGTCTGTATCCAACTGAATGGTGTGGCCAACATTAACAGTATGGGATCTTATGGTGGTGTCTTTGCCTGTTGGAAACTTTTCAGGTCTGCGGGGGGAAATATCCTCTCTTCTTTTAGCTTGGTCATTTAGCTTTAGGGAAACAAATCAACCTTACTTTGTCCAAGTTCTTCACCCCTGTCCTCACAATAGACTAGTTTTAGATGACAAAGTCTGGCGATTTTCCTTAATCCAGTTCTTGAACGTGAACTGTGAGTGCTATATACTAATTTGGAGTACAGAGCTATGGTACTTCTTTTAAGCTTAGCATTTTCTTCTGAAGATGTTCAGGAAAAGCACAGAGAGTGCAAGGGTAGTGAGCAGGCGTATGGTCTTTCTGAAAACCTTGTTGACTAACTTCTCAAAACACAGGCACCTGTCAATAATAGAAATGTATCTTTCTTAGATTGTTTTGGTCACCACTTCAGGGTCTGCTCCCCACAATCTTTTCAATAGCTTTAAAATTGATTTTTCTACTTCCTAGGATACTCCTGTGTCAGAACAGAATTTAGAGGAGTCAATTTGTAATATCAGCGTTCGTGTATATGTGCGTTCTGTGTGCTGATGCCTGAGGCTAGTACCTTGGTGTTTTGGTAGTGAATGTTCTTTAAGTCTGACTGAATTCAGAGCTCTCCAGTCTCCTCTGCCGTTAAGACTAATAAGCTAAAATTTGTGCTCTGTGTGTGTGTATGTGTACATAATACATGTAAATGCATATATGTGTGTATGTACACGTGCATGGCTATATACACAACTTTCTGTGATATTTTAAAGGGAAGTCTTGCTGTAATTATTTTTGAAAAGCATAGAAATTGTATACTAGTACAGTACTATTTGATGGCATTCTATTTGCAACAAACAATTAAAACTTTCAACATTTTTATATAGGTAAGTATTTTTTTCGTTTATACAGGGAATGAAATTAAGATGGAGACAGCACATGTTTTGCTTAAAGTTACCTAAGTCTCAGAAACATAAATACAAAACTTCTAGTTGTCCTCAAATGTGATTACTAAGAGGCTTGCCACCATCTCTAATGTGAATTAGTGCCTGTAAAAGGGGTATTTTAAACTCTGATAAATACATATTCATTAACTTTATATTAACACAGAAAGGTGCAGATGGCATGCCTTTTCTCACATTGTTTCCTTCTATGTTCTCTTTACCAGCTCCTCTTTTTCTGTTCTAAAGTTTGTTCTCATTCCAGTTTAGTCTTTTTTTTTTTTTTTTTCCCCTTTGCTTTCTCTGATCTGTATGTTCTCTCTCTTTACTTGACAGACATTGTGGAGCATTCACTATTAAGCCATTTGGGCAGCCCTAGTCTACCTGTACTGATTTTCTTGTCCAGTCCTTCCCATGTGGCCGAGATTCATCATCAACATACCAGCTAGCAGCTGCCTGTTGTGAAACTTAGGGTCAGTTGTTTCATTGCAATGCTTGCTATTTACAAATTGGTAAATGATAAAACATGCTAAAATAAAATTCAGCATAGTCTGCAATATTATGTACTTGCTGCATGTTTGTAAATTTCCTCATATTCTCTTAATGTAAAACAAATTTTGTAATTCATGTCATTCGTTCCTGAGATAGTCGTGTATGTATTCATTCCATCATTATTTTCTTTCTAGTTTGACTTCCCAAGTTCTGTGAGCCTTTGATTTATTTTTCCCTCGACGATGAGGGGAATTTTCAGCACTTTAATGTATGATTTTTTTGTTTCTGAAACTGTTTTAGCTTCCTTTATTAACAACTCACTTTCTCCCCTTTTCTCCCTATTTTGTATGATTTACAATGATTTGGGTTCATGGAGTTATATTGTGCGGTGAGTGCTCACCCCTGATTTTTATTATGCAAAAGAAGGTGCTGCTTTTAGTTTCTTGTTTACTTTTAAAATCTAGTATCTTAATAAGATGAAGTTGGGGAAGAATACATGCTTTGTACATGTTAGAATGTATGTCCCCTTCTTATTGGAAAACCTTTTAACAACCCTGTGATTTGTAGCAGAGGCTTGTTATTTGATCAGATTGTGATCTCTGTGTCATTTATCCCCAAATTTGGATTTTGCAAAATATTAAAAGTTTTCCTGTTGTCCCTTAGAGACGTTGGTAAGATTTCTGAGATTCTGTTTGCGCTTTCAGCATCAGGTTTATTGCAGGTTGTTCCGTGTCTGGGTTCTGTCAGTTACACTAAGAGCAGTTTTTACCCTCCTGTTGGAACTAGGCCGTAGAGAGGGAAAAAATATGGGTTTGTAGGAGTCAAAACTAAAGAAAGGGTAAGAGAAACAGATTGGGACTGAAGTCGTGTAAGGTTGATATAATGGAAACTAAAGTGGGCAGGGAGACTGGCACTAGATGGCTTTGGAAGCTGAGAGGTGGGAAAGGAAATGCACAAGATTTGGAGCTAGTAGATGATGGAAAGAGGCTAAAATCTTGAGATTAAGATGGGCTGAAAATCCTGAGAGGGATGTAGGAACTACAGCTAGTAATATTAGGAAACTTCTTGCAGAGCTGAAAGGGAGGGGAAAAGATGTACTGAGTAAGTTTGGAGGGGGGAAAAAAAAAAAACACACAGGCAAACTGGAAGTGCCTGGCTAAGAATATAGGATTAGAAAATAGAAATGTTATTTTGAGGCAGCTCTGTGCCGTACTAAGAAGTGGAAAGGGATGAAGGAACTCGCGTTGGTTAAGTAAACAAAATGAGACAGATTGGTGTTCCACAAATGGGATATAGAGCAACTGAGATAAAAGGGGAAAGCATAAGAGAAAGGGGAGAGAACTTGATCGTAGGAAGAAGGAACGGAATAATACAAACTTTCTAGAGACAGGTCTTGCCGGCACCTAAAAAGTTGCCCATGTTTTCTGAATCGTACCATCCTTTTGTTGTCAGCAGCTACTGGCATCCACTGGCAAGTTACCTAATCACAGTCTGTCGCCTGTTTGTTAGTTTACAGGTAGGACAGCTGTCAGTTACCCAACTGAAGTGTTATAAATCTATGAATTTTACCTACTGAAGGATAGCGTAGGCCTCATTATAAATTCTCATAGAAATTTACTAACTCTGTTCATTTTGTTATTAAAATTACTGGAAACTGTGTACGTATTAAAAGAAGTTTAAGGCAGCAAAATCATAGCTTAAGTTAGAATTAAAGTGGTTTGTACAGTGTGGAGATACCTATGGTCTCAAAGCTATCTTGGATACTCTTCCAACTTCATGGAAATGGTCGGGTAGCAATGATATACTTAGGAATTGCACGAAATAAACTAAACGGTTCTTGGAAATGCTTGATGCTAAGCTGAGCTTGAGATTTATTTAATGTATTGCTCTAATCTACGTTACAGGGAATATAAAAATGGGAAAGAAAAGGTTTGGTGACATAATTTTGCACTGTAACATATAAAAATAATTTTCCCCGCTCCTTCTGAAAGAGGGTAACAGTTGCTTTACTGATTTGGCACACTTTAGAAAAGCTGCATGAACAGTGAACAAAACTTTTTTTTTTTCTCTAAATAAACTAAATCTGAACCCATTTTAAAATTTCATACTTGCAAACAAATTAAGATGTTTCCTACCACTGTCACCTTCATGTATATGTATGTATAATGGAAATATGATTTTCCTTTTTGAACCAACTCTGTCTAGGTGACACAGCATCAAAATGGACTGTAACACTCCGCTAAAGCATTGTTAATGTAGTAAATGTGATGCAGCTCTAAGTAGAGGAAACAAAACTGCATTTTTTCCTCTCTTTAGGAACCAAGGTTGCATTCTGTGAGAAGAAATTTTTCTCATCCTTCATCTGTGAGTCTGAAACCTCGAAATACACGAAGTCCCCATTTTCATCCTAGGAAAGATTATAGAGTGGAAGATAAAATTCTTACACCACCTTCTTCTACAGATTCAGTAAAATAGATTTTTAGCTATCTGCCTTGCTAATGTATTTGTCACACGGAGGGTATGCAGTTCTTCAGCTTCTAACATTTGCCTGGATGTACCTAAACTGAAACGTTACCTAGAGGAATGAAGTGAAATCTTGCAGTTTGGATGGGCAAACACATGAAATGCAGGATAAAATCATGGTTTCCTTTCTTAATAAAAATACCTTTACAGGACAGAATTGTAGTTTGTGATATACAGACCACTGTATATACCTTACTTGCTAACATGGACTGAAAAACAGCATACTTTTATTAAAGGGAAAACTTAACATTTCACTTCTGGACGACATAAATTAAAAGATACATTAGTTGCAAAGTAAAAGCCACTTTCCCGCATATGGTCAGCGTTTACTTGTTGTGGATTCAAATCTGCTTATATAAATCTATGTGCGTTGTGTTTCAATTCCAGTATAGTTTGTATACTTTTAATTTTGCTGCAATCAGAATTTTCTGCTTTTGTAGGATGTTTTTCTTATGTGTCATTTTAGCATTTAGGAATAATAATTTTTTGAAATAAAATTTGGGCCACTAGATTAATAATTACATGTCTTCATAGGAGGCTGACATTTTTCTTAAATATGGCAAACAATACATTTTTGTTTATAGTGTGTTTTTAGCTATAGAGAAAGGCAAGAGTTGACTTATATATTATAAGACCACTGGAAACTTCACCTTGCTTCTTTGAATTTCTGTTGTCTATGCAAAACTGAAGAACTCCTTGACAGTATCATGTCTTGAGATGGAATACTACTTTCTCCTCAACTACAGGAAGATACTTTTCCTCTTCTTTCCTTGCCTCCTTCCCTTCCCCCTGAAATCCTGCTATATTTCGTAAAAGTGAATCCTAAAAGGTTAAAACTCAGCCTCTGTAGTTAATAGGAGTACAACCTGTGGCTTATTGCTTATGTAGCACTGAGGTCTTTATTTTATGTATGTAAAATACCCTTGAGCTTTTAATTTTTCATCTGCTCTGTAGTAATTTCCTAACTGCATTCTGAGGTTTTCGTTTTTTGTCACATGGGATCTTGCAGAGTGGGCATTATAGTCAGTATTTAATCCATGAGTGATATGTAAATATCGTATTTAAAGATGATTCTAGCAGTCAATGGCATTCTTTCTTATTGTGCTGGGGAAGAGGTGGCGTCCGCTTCTGCTCCTGCACCGGTGATTGACAGTGTTGTCAGGGGAGACTCCCTATAGCACGTTACATTATTTACAGTCTTGGTTGCAGGTTTGCTCAGATGGATTTATTTGCCCCTTTGGCTGGGCAGAAAAAGAAATCTACACAAACGTGACTTAAACCTTTTTTGCTTTTAAAAAGGTGTTGCCCTAACAGTTGTGGGAATTGTTTTAACAATAAGTATCAAAAAGAGATGCAGTTTGTTAGATTCATGGGAATCTCAACCCACTCTTGGGGGCGGGGGGGGAAGCTGTTGTAGATTGTCATCTCTCTGGGCCGGTCTGCACAACCAAGAACCCTTGTCCAGCTGTTCTTCTGTTTGATTTAGATTTTAGAATTCATCAATATAAATATTTTAAAGAAGCCCTGGCACATCCTAACAATAATTCATCTCCATGGGAGTATTTTTAAATAGTAAATGTTTCTGTAAGCTATATGCTGTCTTTAAAGCTAGCAGGGAAAGGTTATGTGTTCTGTTAGAGTCTTATTTCTCATATCATGAAATACTTGTGTGACACAGGCTTCGTCAGATTAGACCTAAGTCCTTATTTTTGGGATTTGGAGTTTTGGTTTACCAAACGTGACTTCCCAGTTTTTAAAACACTCTCAAGGTCCAAGAAGTTAATTTTATACTGAGTACTATATTAAAAAATGTGTTTACAGGGAAGTCTTTGGAACTAATCGCTTGAAAGCGTACAAATACGGTGCAGTCATTTGCGTGTCTGTCAGATTAAGTGGCATTTAATCTAAATACTCACAAATGGTGATTTATTTCCATTTATCAGGGCGGATGTTAGATTGTTGATACTCACTTGATCCTGCGGCCTTTGCTTCAGAGGGGGTTTACTTTGTTTTGGCTTACATACGAACTTGATCGTTTGGAAGGATATGCAGTGTTGGGCACGGAAGGATACCTGTAACGTTCTGCTGTGGGGACTGTGACTTCGGTCTCAAGGGCGCTTGTGGTTGGGATTCTGTCGTCAGGGCTTTACTCGCAGTGCTTTGTTTTGATCTGAGAGGCCTGGAAAAGACCAAGATGAAGCACTGACTGTTGGCTTTCCTCTAAGAACCACAGATCACTGGTCAAGTATTGAGGGGTCCCCACTGATATTTGTGTATGTCGTAGGTTTATCTTTCTTTAAAATGTTTGCCAAGAATGATGACATTGTATGAATTAGTACTAACCTCACCTTTAAGCTTCCAGTAGTTGGATCCTTCATAAGAAGCAATAGAAGCACAATAAATGACTTCTGTAATTATATTAGTAGTGTGTTCCTGTAATGTGTAATGAGAAAGAACTGCATCGTTTCCTCTTGAGTGGTGCCTGAAATTGCATTATCTTGATGTTTTAGTGTTCATGGATTTGTTTTTTTTTTTTTTCTCATTTCTTATACTACACTGTATTACTTTTCTGCCCTTTAAAATTTTCATAATATGGCGATTTCTGTGCTTTTTATACAGATGTCACCTAGTTGACTCCTGATCCCTCACTTTGATTTTCGGGATTTGGAGGAGGTGAATGTTCTTTTGGGGCCTGTGCAGTTTCCCATTGATAGCTGTAAGGCTTTACGTATGTGTGCTAGGAGGGATCAGATCGCGTTTGGGGCTGTGGCCTGTGGACATGCAGTTAGCCAACAGAAGAGGCCATGTGGCAAATAATTCCCTTTTCTTCTTATGTACTGTTTGTCACATATTAGTGAACCAAATTAATTTTCTGATTTCCCTGCTGGTATTTTGGTTTTCTGCTTAGCTAGCTGTTGCAGTACTTCCAACTGATATTTATTTAATGTTATCTTTATATGGCAAAATGCTGCTTTTAACATTCTCCATTAGGTAACGCTGGATGTAAACCTATAGATTTAGACAGACAGAAAAGTTATGGAAGTTATCACTCTCCTATAGTTTTGCATATTTGATCAAGGAATATTTTCTTGCAATAAACAGAATTATCTTGTTCACTAATGCCTCTGGTACATGCTACTTCCGATCCTGAGCACCAGCAACATATTCATCATCCCTGTAGGGTAGCTTACATTTTTCATATTAATTGGGTATGTTTATGTATTCTGAAATTCATTTTCCAAAATACTTAACATTAAGTCAATGATTGTCTATTTCAACTGCATTCCAGTAGTAACTGAGGAAAAAGTAACAGAACACATGGCTTTTTCAAAATGTTTTTTCTCTGTTTTAACATAGTTCTAGAGTGTGAGAAGTTGTAGGGTGCACTGTTGTACTAAAATACGTTAGTAGCTTTGTAATGTTGAAGTACTGCGGTAGTTTCAGTTCACCTGGAATAAAACTTTCTTCATTTCTGTTTCCTATTTTAGTAAAAAAAAAAACAAAAACAAAAACAAAACAAAAAAAATTAAAATCATTTTTTTAAAGATCCAAAATATAATGCCAACATATTGATACACTTGCATGATCTTGCAAGCAGTAGGCAAATCCTTATAACCTGTTATGCAGAAAATCCAAATAGAAATACAGAGAGCAGAACTGCAATATGTAACCCTTATTTTAACAATGCTTAATGGTGAGAATATTGTTCATGTTTCTAATTGTTTTCTAATTTGATAGTTGAACTAGAGCATCCAATTTTATTCCAGAACACATGATTTTGGTTGATCAGATGGCTGTTTTATTTGATACTGTATTCCAGGTGCATATAATCTAGTTACTGTAGCCTTGTTAGATGAGGTACTGTGGATGTGCATAGAGGAAAGAATAATAAATTGTAGATCTCATTTTAGTGAGCTGTTTGTCGTTTTATAAATCAAAAGCTCTTTGTATTGAAACTACTTGTAGAATACAGTAATAGAAAACAAGTTTCTGTAGTTTGTAACTTCTAGTAACACTCTAGTTTTGTAACTAAAAGTTCAATTCAAATAAATTGGTCCCTCTCTACTGTTTGAGTTGTAACTTGTTTATTTAATGGTGGCATAGATAAGTAGGATAACTTTGCACTAGAAAAATAAGGAAAATTGAATTGGTAAACTTTCATCATTAAACTACCCTTCTACAAAACAAACTGATGTTTTGTCATCTTTATGGTAATTATACTTTTTAAAATGCTTAGTAGTATTGCAGGAAAGGTGGCTCTTCCACTCAAGTTAACATGCTTAACAACATTTTGTTTCTGTTACGTTCCTGTAGTTACTCCTTCAAAGGAAGAAAGAAGAATTTGGGCCAAATTTTAAAAAAGAAAAAAAAAAGTCAAACTGAGGGGCTTTCAGAATGGAATATTGAGCAGAATACTGTTGGTTATAAAAGACTTTAAACCCTATTTTTAAATAATGGATGAAACGGCTTTCATTAAATCATACTACAGAAAAATAAAGAAATGTCAGTGTTTTGTTTTAGTTAAGGTAATAAGGATGGGGATGTGAGAAGTTTCTGACTATTGAATCTCAGAATTTTTGAGAAATTATTTTTTACTTTGTCTCTCGCAGACCTATCCCAAGCAAAAACTTATCCTTTTCCTTGAGTCAGGAACAAAGGAAGTCAGCCGCCTAAAAAGGAATACAGAGAGGAACTGTGAAGTGCAAAAGTGTTGCAATTTGAGATGATTAATATTCTAGGTTTTTTGAGTTTTTTAATGCGTTGTTGTTAAGGCCTGTAACTGCTCGGTTGGCCTCAGTTTCTGAAGAAATCTGACTAATTTAGCTCTTGCTTGTAAATTATTCTCTGGATTATTACTAATGTGTCTGTCTGCTGTTAAAATGTTGAGTGTCAGTTGTCATTAATATATATCAAATAATAATGCTGATTTTTTTTTTTAACTGTTGCTATTATATGCCTTTTTAAGCTGCGATTATGGATGTTACGACCACAACTGGAAAACATCTTTAGTCAAAAAATTATTTTACGTTTTGATTTTTCTTTCAGGCGTACTACAAATTACCCCTTTTTTTTCCTGTTAGTTGAGTCAGTTCTGGTTGTAGTGACATTTTTATAAATAGCAGTGATTTCCTTTTCAAGTAATTGATACAGTTTTAAGTGTATTTTTGATGCTTGCTACTCTTTAACCTCAGATAGAAATATATCTTCAAAGGCTATTCAACTTGTAGTAATGAATTTATTCCAGGTAAGCTCATTAACTGGTTAAAATATCTGAGTGACTAGTTGTCATACTGAGACACAGACCGTGGTGTGTTTGTCCCAGTGCTGGTCTGAACAGGATGGAAAGTTTGAGATGTTCTCCTCTCAGAAGCTTCAACCAGTTCTGCATCAGAGGGTTGAGTCGTTTATCATGACCGTGATAACTGCCTAAAGCAGTTTGTAGGCCATCTTATGTAATCCTTGATATACGTTTTAAATTTTAAAATAAATAAAATACAGTTTGTTTTGAAGCGCTTTGCACTTGCATAGCATTAAAGCAGTATTATTTCTTTTGCTTTGAACGTTTAATTAGAAAAAGAAAGAGGTCTTTAAAGAAACGTTTCGTGTATGGATCCTGCTGGAGTTGTATGACGCGCACGCAGGTACAAGATTGTAGTGTTTCCTGAGAAAGTGTCATGAAGGACCGTGCAGTGTATTTTTTATTTCTATGTAAAGATATTAATGAGGGAGTCGCTTTTGCGGTCTCAGATTCCTCTTACTGACTCTCTGAATTGTAAATTCAATAGTGTATGATCTTTCTTGAGTGTCAGTATGCGTTCAAAATTGGATGTTCATAAACCAATCCATCTGAATTGGTCTTTATTATTTTTAGCTTTTTATTGGGACATTGCACATACACAGACAGACAAGGAAAACCTTCTGTGTACTTGCACCGTTTAAAGCATTTTCCTTATGTCTTGGGTTCATGTTTTTAATCAACAGGAAGCTCAGATGACTTGAAAAAAAGAATATACAACTATCAGTAATTAATCCCCCATATCTTGGTCTTTTAAGAAACTGGAAGAGGCAAAGTTTAAACTGGATGATTTTATTAAATGGTTTATGCAGGTCATGGTTGGTTTTGGAGAGAAGGCATTCTTGTGTGTAGGCTTTGGATTCAAGTCAATTTATAACAGTTTTTCCCAGAAGCGAAGTGCTGCATTCTTATTTCCAGCAGGAGAGAAATCCTCCAAAAGACCTCTTGTATTTGGTACCAGGGCTTTGGACAAGGGCTGCCTTGGTTTCAGTGCCTTTGACGTTGATTGCATTAGTAGTGAGCAGAGCGGCATGGAGTCAAGAACAGAGGGACGTATATTTCAAGACCTCAGTTTCAAGCGTCAGGTGATGTTCTTGCCTTCAGCAAGTGTAACAAGGTAATAAAGACAAAAAGCACTTTCCACAAAAACGTTTTCAAATTCTCCATTACACGGAGAGCAGGGAGCAAAGTACTTCATGAACAATGTACAGGACCAATCTGGAGGCCTGGGTAGACGATGAGGCTTGTCAAAAGCCCTCTCTAGTCAAAACTCTGCTGGTGCAAAACTGCTGCCGCCTCTCATGCTGCGCTGCTGAAAGAGGATCGATAGTCCAGTCCAGCAGCAGACGTGTGCCTCTGTTGGCGTACTTCTCTGTGCCATCTCTGTCACTTTTCCGCTTGATCAGAATGAAATTTTTGGGGGGTCGTGCAAGCCTTCTGCAGAAGCATGGTTTCAGTGGATTAATTGGTCCGTTGGTCAGGTTGCGGCCTTTCAAAAGTCTAAAAACTGTAAGCTTCCAGGTGAGAGTTGTGCTCTTTCCATGGGAGTTGCTGTGGCTACCGCACCCCGTGAATCACAGCATGGTGCAGGGATCTGTTCTTCTCAAGCCATTGCATTGGAAATGGGCAGTTCTGTTGTTGATATTCAGGCACCTTTTGAATCCAGAAATCTTAGATCTCATTTCTCTTCTCACTTGTTTAAATGCCTTGATCCAGTTGTGAGCTCCTGTGAAGATGCTGCTAATCTTTCCTTCCTTCAATCTGAATTTTGGGGTCTTTGGTTTCACTGATTCAGTTTCATTTTTGACTCAAGTCTTTAAATGGTAACCGTTCATTGCCGAACTTCCAGCTTAGGAGCTTATACTTGCTTCCCTACCCTGGGGTTCTCCAAACTAGGGATCATCATGTCTACCCATGGCGGTGTTTCTGGTGTTGGTGCCAAGAGAGTTTATGCTATGAGCAATTCTGTCTTGGAGGTGAAAGCCTTGTTAGAGCTCAGAATGCACCCTTCCGGCCTCGTTTAAAACAAAGCTCGTTCAGTTAAATAAAAACACAAAAGCAACCAGCTGGCAAGTTGACTGATGCTGCAAAAAGTTGTTTTATTTGCCGCTGTTGTAGCCATTGCCGTGGCTTTATACAAGAGGTTGCAGGGGATCTGAAGATCCTTGTGGAGTGGAGCAGGGGGATGCTCGGGGTCGAGCGGGCGGTTACACGTGTAACCAGGGAGGCCCTTCACTGCAAAATGGGCTTTGGGAGTCAGCTGTGGGTAAGCAGCCTTGCAGGGAGCTGAGGGACTGCTCATTTGGTATGTTTGCCTAGGTCGAGAAGACAACACTGAGGTATACCCTCTTGGTTAAGGCACCTGAATTTATTTTCAAGAATATAAGATTGAACCTACAATTATTGCGTAGGTTCTGCACTGACTGATTTTTAAATTGTTCTGAAGTTAAATAACTTTATAATGTGGATTCAAAGGCAGTGCAGTCTGCAGGTGCATCTTTCCTGGTAAGCTGCTTAAATGAAAGTGAGATTACTTTGCCCCCTCCGTGCATTATCCTGATCTGCATCAGGTGTAATGCAGTTACAAATGACTTGCAGTAGTTCATGAGAATTATGAGTTTGTGAGTAATGAGAGCTTTTATAAAATATAATCAGAAAAATATAATCAGGAAAAAAGCGCTGAATGCCTGTGGCTGTCCTACCTGAAGTCAGCCTGGTAGAAGAGGAGAGGGCTCCAGCTGCTCAGCACCCATGGAGAATGAGGGAGAAAATCTTGGGACTGTATTCATGTTAGCTTGAAAGAGAAGTCTTTCCTACTTAAAATGAGGGCTCATTCAGTATAACTGTCTAGGGTTTATCAACAACGATTTTAAGTTGGTTTTATTAATGTAGATTTTTATTGTAATCATATATAATTTTCTTGACAAACTTTACTACAATATTTTTACATTATTACAAAACAAAACACTATGCTTTTTTTCTTCTGGAAGAAAGTTCCTGTGGAAAGGAAATAGGACTAAACTGTAAAAGCTGAAATAGAGACTAAACTGCTTTTCATTTACTTTTCTACCCTTTGAGATGCCAGAAGCAATTTCCTCTCGAAGCTGACTTCCTTTCTGGAAATGATTTTCGTCTCCAACCATGCTGAGGCTCTTTGCTCATTCTTTCATTCTGACTAACTTGCTTTTTTTCCTCTGACTTGTTACTGCATTTGAGTGGATCTGCTGGAGGTAAGTAATTGCATACGAGTTTCTCTCTTAACTTGCAGTTAAACAAAGCGCTGTTGGTGTCCTCTGCAAGAGAGCACTGATAGGGGGCTGGCTGTGAATTGACGTGGCGTGGAAAATCTCTGCTAGTTTGTAGCAGCTCTGACATTGCTGGGAAATCAGGCTGATTTTTGCCGAGTTTGTCGCTTGGAGTCATTACGGGCTTAGTGTTTGTATATAGAAATGAATAGAAAGTACCTTCACTTTTTAACTTGGGAACCAGATTTTTTCTGTGTTTGGATTTATGGCTAATAGAGAACAAAATCAGAAGTTTTTTTGTGTGTTTGTTTGGGGCTGTTTGGTTTGGTTTGGGTTTTTTGGTGAAAGCAACAGAGCCTGCTGCC